ATATAAAATGTGCAATTATCAAAATATTGCAACATAAAGAAACAAAAAATAAAAAATAAAAATCATAATCTTCCTTTCTTATAGTATAACATAAATTTAAAAGCATGCATCATAAATTCATGCTCCCGAGTATATATAATAAAATATTAAACTTGTCGAGAGGCTATATTTTGATTAAATAGTAGTCCAATTAATCATTTAGGGACATTTCTGAATTTTTTTTTTTTTTTTTTTTTTAATTTTTGTTTTTTCCCATGACTCAAAATAATTCCTTTGTAGTCCATAATGTAATTGCAAGATTAGATAGCATTCGCAAGTTTTAAGCCCAATATCATTGTACCGAACAAGATGTTAAAACTATGAGATTCCAGTATTGTTGGGCAGCCCAAAGAGATATAATGGACCACATTGGTTTGATTCAAAACCAAAGAAATGATAAGTAAAAAAAAAAAAAAAAAAAAAAAGAAGAAAAAGGCCCAACAAAATATTGAATTTAATATACAAATGTAATAATTAGTATTATTTGCACCTAGAAATAGGTGCACCAGGCCCAATCTATGCCCAATATAGAAAGCCCAGATGAAAAAAGGCCACACGAAGTTCAATTTTTTTTAAAAAAACTAATTGTTCCTCCTTTCTATCTGTCATATTTATCTTTTCTATCTGCCATATTTATCTTTATTTCCTCTCACCAATTTTCTCTCTCCTCTCGTAAATTAAAAATCTTCTTCAATTTATTTCTTTTTGTATTTTCTATCTTCTCTCACCAATTTTCTCTCTCCTCTCATAAATTAAAAATCTTCTTCAATTATTTCTTTTTGTATTTTCTGTCTCCTATCACCAATTTTCTCTTTCTAAAACAGCAATCCACCATGACGAAAGACGAAAAACACACGAAAACATCACTCAAAAAATGAACAAATTATAAAATTGAAACAATATTTTTCTATATAATTGTCTTTTTGATTTTTTTTTATTTTTTTTTTTAGAAAATCAAAATTAAATTATCTACTCCTATTGAAGAGAATGAAGATCAAAATCAAAATTGAATTAGTACTTGAAAGGCTGAAACTCCATATCAAACACAAGAAGCAAAAGAAAAGCCCCTAAAAACTTCTTATAAGACACTAAAAGCAACAAAAAAAGCCCCAAAAAACTTCTGATAACATAAAAACCTCAAAAACCTCTGAACCCCTTATATAAACTCTTGAACCCCAATTACAAACCACTAAACACCCTACAAAAACCTTTGAACCCCTTACAAAAACTACTGAACCCCAACTACAAATCATTGAACCCCCAACCAAAACCTTTGAACCCCCTACAAAAACTTTTGACCCCCCTACAAAAACTTTTGAATCCCAACCACAAACCACTAAACACCCTACAAAAACCTCTGAACCCCCTACAAAAACTTCTAAACCCTAATCACAAACCAATGAACTCCTTACAAAAACCTCTGAACCCCCTACAAAAACTTCTAAACACCAACCACAAACCACTGAACACCCTGCAAAAACCTCTGAACCACCTATGAAAACTTCTGAACCCCAACCACAAATCACTGAACACCCTACAAAAACCTCTGAACCTCCTACAAAAACTTCTGAACCCCAACCACAAACTACTGAACACCCTACAAAAACCTCTTAACCCCCCTACATAAACTTTTGAACCCCAACTACAAACCACTGAACACCCTATAAAAACCTCTGAACCCCCTACAAAAACTTCTAAACCCCAACCACAAACCACTGAACACCCTACAAAAACCTCTGAACCCCCCTACAAAAACTTTTGAACCCCAACCACAAACCCATTGAACACTCTACCAAAACCTCTAAACCCCAACCACAAACCACTGAACACCCTTAAAAAACATCTGCACCTAAAGACACTGCTGGACTTCCCTTATAAAGTACTAAATGCCAATTTTTTTTTTTTTAAAAATGATTACAAAATACATAAATCTCATAAAAAGTTCATAAATAATGTATCATTTGTTCAAAATTATAATTAAGATGTTCATAAATCCAAAAATATATGTTTGTAAAAATATATATTTATAGGAAACGTGTCCTACGTTCATATTTTTAACTAAAAATGTTCAAAATACCAAAATATAACCAAAAATAGAATTGTTCATAATAGAATACACAAATATCAATAAAAAATCAAAATAATATGAAAGCTACATATTTCAAAACTCAAACCTAACCATAGTGATTTAGATAAAGGAATCTCATCGGAAAATAATCATCTCCGTCGTCTTAACCACCTCTTCCTCATCAAATCCGCCATTTTTAACTTCACTTCATTGGAAAAACTCCATTAACAAAGCTTCAAATTGAAGGTTGAAGAAAACGAACTTTTTAATTAATGTATAGTGGTTAACAATGGTGATGAAGGAGTTAAATCAAAAACAAAATAATGAATGAATTTAGGAAAAAAAAAATAGAGGAGAGAGAAATCAGAAATTAAGAGTTGTAAGAGGAAGAGATGAAGGATCTCAATCTATGGTGAACAACAATGGTGATGAAGAAATTAAATCAAAAACAAAATTATGAATGAATTTAAGAGAGAAAAATAGTTTAAAGAGAAGAAAGAGGAGAGGGAAATCAAAAATGAGGAAAGTGTGAGAGGAGGAGAAGAGAGGAGAGAGAAAATGATGTTGGTATTGTGTTAGCAAATTGTAAAATACGTGGCCTCTTATTAATGATGGTGCATATTAAAATTTGCCCAAATGTAATGTGACAAAATAGATGTCGCTTCCAAGAAAAAGTTGGGTGTTTTAGTGTTTTATGCATAAAATTTAGGTGAAGTTTGTAATTTTATCTATTCGACTCAAGTAGCACACTTGGCTTATGGTAGGTGAGTCTTCCAACAAGAGTTTCCTACATTCGGTGAGCAAACTCGAGGCCTTCCTTATGCGACATCAAGCTGGTTACCACTTGAGCCAACTGGCCTAACTCTTATATATATAGAGAGAGAGGGGACAAATTAATCAAGAATAGCTTAAAAACACCTTCCTATCAAGCTAGAAAATTTCCGAATGTCTTTGGATATGCAATTATACAAATAAAATATCATGTAGGCTAATACATAGCTACATTTATGCAATAAAGCGAAACAACTATTGTCATGTTATACAAGAGAATTAGTCAAACTATTACAACCCCAAAATTTTAAGCAAGTCTAAATGGTCTGTGTAGCAAGCTCTCTCTAGTTAGAAACTTGGCATAGTACAAATGTTACAACTTATAATAGTCCAACTTTAGTCAAGTCAATTCAAAACAGCTCTATAAGATTTGACTTGGCTCCATCCACTAGCACAATTAATTATAATTAACCCAAACTAACCTTGGTTACATTAATACTTAATCCATGATGTCATGTCATACTATGAACTGATTAAGCAAGAAACTGTCAAAGTAACAATTTATGGTTGGTTGGTGTCTTAATGGAGCAACTCATATAATTGTGGTTGTTAATTAAGATGATTTGACCCTACTAATTAGCTTGTTTAAGATGTTAATTGCAATTTGCATCTTTGTTATTAGTATTATGCCAAAGCTAGACTTTTAATTCTCTAATGATCCATTTAAGACTAGTGTGCATTGTATAAAGCTTATCATAAAAGGAATATAACGTCATTGATCCCTTAGAAAAGTTACAATGAATTGAAGTTTGTCAAAGAAAACTTCGAATTTTTTTAGTAACTATTTGATGAATGTTTCTTTATAATTTCACGATATACAATAATACAAAGTTGTCAAATGACATATAGGCTAGATCAATCAGATTTGCCCTCGGCTTCAAGGTATAATGCTTAGGGTTGAATATTGATTCTCCTTCACCTTGGCCTAGAATTTTCTTTCTTCTTTTGGCTCTTGACAGAGGGACAAATCGAATCGGGCGCTAGGGGTAGGGGCAGAACAGGAGAATACATGCACAAGTGCACAACCCTAGATTGGGTGTGAAATAATGAAGACCTAGTTCACAGGCAAACTACGAGATGGGGGCAATTGACTCCACTTCAAGTAGCCTTTACTCGGTTACTCCAATTCTTTAGAGAACTAGCTCTCCATTCATGTATGAAGTATAATACTTAAATTATAGGAGGTAGATTTTAATAATGCTAGTTTAAGTCATGTTAAATCAAGATTGCATAACAGTATAACACAATTTACAAACTCGCTAATTTTGTAAGAGTAAATCAAGTCAATCATAAGCAGGAAATTAGAAAGGGCTTACTCTATAATTCTTCACTAAACTTTCACAAGCTACAAATAATGTTTTGGAGAAGAGATTGACGGATTGAAATGCTCAAAGAGCTCACATAATTCTTGAAAATTGTCACTACATTTCCAAAAGTTGGAACATAGTAGCAAGACTAGCAACTTCACATGATCATTTAGGAGGTTACACTTTCTTGATTAACCAATCATTGTAATCATCATACAATAGATAGATAGTGTATTAGTGTGTTATTGAACTAATGGTAAAACTATGTATTCTTTGGCAATAAAAGGTTCTTGCCAAATCATTCCGAATGGGGTTAATATGTGCCTAAATCCGCCAAATATAAATCGACACCAATACTGATACTCGATTAATTAGTATAAGCCACAATAATTTAAAGGTATGTTAGTTTATATGGGAATTCCAAATTCGGGCAATAGTTCCTTCGTATTGGGTTCAATTCATCAAAAATAACTCCAAGGATACTACAATACTACGAACATGAAGTATTGTATTTCTAATTAAGAATGCCATAGAATAGAAGTTTAATTCTAACACCATTTTCACAATTGAGCAAACATCTAATGCAAAAGCCACCAATTTCAAAGTTAGAGAAACCTATACAATTATACAAGGGTGAAACAAGCAATTTTCATGTACTCATCACATAATAAAACAACCCTAAATTTTATGTAACATATCAAAAACATGCTACCACAATTTCATTGTCACATTACTAGTTCAAATAACACGAACACTAGAATAGAAATACTTAATCACAATCTCACAAATCTATAGAAATCTCATTTATAATCTCCGAGTATGATGACCAACATATATTACAAATTCAAGAAACAAAAGTATATAATATAATGAGACTAAATATGTACTCATATTAAATTACAAAGTTATAACATTTTGATTTTTTTTTTTTTTTCTTTTTCCAAATTTCTAGCAACAAAGAAGATTAAATAATTAATTACTCCATTAATAAGGGCGGCCATTACTATTATTAGTAGGAGTTCGAGCAATAAGCCGAACCGGAAGGGGTCGACCGGTACCTGAACCACCACATTTGGTGCAAGCAGCCCGACCCGAACCCGAACAAGAGCGGCAACCCACATCACCATCTGACCATCTCGAGCAGAAACAGGCAACCCGACCCGACCCGTTACAAGATGGGCACCTTGGAAATGGACCAGCCATGGTGTTATTCTGGTCCAAGACTGACTTCACTAGAGCCGCACCGGCTAACACGCTAAGACCGGAGGCTAATTGGGTCAGAACCAAGGGACCCATTTTGGCTAAGTTTTAGGAGAGAGAGAATAAAATCAATGGAAGATTAAATTTGGGTTATGGGTTTGATTTTAGAGGTGAAATGTTATGGAAGATTGAATGTGGTAAGAAAGAAGAACACGTTATACAAAGTATATAAGGAATGGTTTGGAAAGAAAAGTTGGGATTTGATTGGGTTGGTTACATGGAAAGCTCCTACACCACAATAATACTCCTTTAGAAGATTTGAGAGTTTAAGGGGTTGTAATTTGTAAACTTGTTATGTTTTTGGACTTATTTGTTGTTTTTTTTGTTTGGGCCTTGTTGCTTCCTTTACCATCCTTCAACTTGAGTATCCTTGCCGATATGACTCGTTTTCTAGTCGACTAGTCGGTTATAAGTTACGTGATCGGATAAAATTTAAGTGTAATTCGGCAGGTGAAAATGCGGAGTAGGTGAACAAGCTCTAAACGTATATACTGTAATACTCTCTATCTTAATTTAGTTTGCCTAATTTTCTTTTTTAATTTTTTTTTTGTTTGGAACTAATGCATTGTTTTTTATTTTTTTACCACAAGCGCAATAATTTTTTTAGAATATTTTATTTATCTCTTAAGTAAAAATTTAGGATTTCTTACAGTCATTCAATTGATAAATTTCTCGCCCCTCGTCTCTTTTTCTTTTAAAAAATCAAAATAACAATTGATAACTACGCTTCAAAACTCCTCTTACAAAAACTCTTCTTACAAGTTAAAACTATTAATCTTATCAAAGGACAAATTAAATTAATATAGAGGGGGTATTTTTTAATATTTATCCTAGAATTTGTGTTTTTCTTCATAAATATTCATAACCGGTTATATGGGCTTTTGTATGGAAGTATACTGTCATTCTTGCTTTATCCATTTTGTTAATGTGGGAATGCAATTGTTTCTATTTGGGGCCATGTTTCATGTGGTGGTATGTGAGATGAATCTCATGAATCCATTAAAATATCTTTTTATTGGGTTTATTTGATTTTAATATCTCTTCCTCGGATATTTTTAAATGAGTTAAGTGTAAAAGTTTCGTTGTAAATTATTGTCTTTCCTTAATTTAGGTCCTTAATATTGCTTAAGTATTGTGAAGGCTTATAGGGCCCTGTCGAACCCCCCACAACCAAACAAAAAATGTTTTCCTCAACAATTAACCAAACAGTCTATATATCTAAGATTGGGTTTCAGAACATTTACTCTAAGAATGTATTATAAATATAAATATTATAATATATTATTAGAGATAACAATAATTCATTGAAGCCAGCATGACTCAAAGATCACGAATTCGAATTTCATCCACCCCATCTTTTAAAGTGGAATATTAAGCGCATGATATGAGGAAAGTCCCTGTTGCATCCACACTTCAACCTAACGGACTTTCGTATGACGGGCATGAATGCATGATAGAGTTTAAAACATATTTTTAAGCCTCAACCATAAGCTTGACCTTCTGGTTGAGTTGGTCCATTTACATAGTATCAGAGCCAGACCCACGATATGGGACCCTATTTAGCTAAAGTTCACTAGGCTAAAAGTAGGTCCATTCGAGGGGGTGTGAAGAAGCACTCTGACTCAAAAAAATATAAAAAAAATCACATAAGACAATGTTAAAAAGGGATCTTACATATGAGGGGGAGTGTTGAAAAACTAGACCTTTTAACTATCATCACATGTAAGTATCCCATATTAGTTGAAAAAGAGATAATTAATCACTTATAAGGCTAAGGAGCTACTCCTCGTATTGTCATATGATTTTGGGATAGAACCTCACCGACTTGTGAAGTGGACTATCTATTTCTTGGTTTGTGTGTGCGGCCTAGAGCTATAGACTTGTATTTGATCAAAATTTAATGAAAGTAGCTTTTGGAGTAGTGTTTGTCAGTTATTGTATTTAAAAACGACCGAAAAAGAAAAGTGGAACAAGTATTTAAAAGCGGATGGAGTACCCTTTTTTGATAAGTTGTCATATATTTTCTATTATTTAACATCAATTTCCAACATTTTATTTTTTATCTCTTTAGTTATTTCCAACTACTTTTTCTCTCTCTTTATCTCTCTCTAACCCCATATGTACATATGTACATATAATCATTAGTTATAAAAAATTTACAACTTTATTATTAATTCATGTGCAAAAACCAAAAGAGGCATTGTAATAGGGGACTGAAGAAGTATTAATATGTATTAACAAAAAACTCTATACATCTATTAAATATTACTCATACTAAAACAAAACATGTTGACATTTTTAAGGGACACATGTCAATTTCATATTAAAAAATTTCTCGCCTAAACTATTTTTGACATCATCATTTTTTTTCCTATATTCCAAAACTAAATAAATACAGTGCTACTTTCAACATTAATTAAAAAGATTATAGCTTTTTTAAAATATAAAATTGACAACTATTTAAACAAATAATAGCTATTTAATTCGTGCAACGCACGGGACGAAACTAGTTTCATAATAATTGACATTGTTCAACATTTTTCTTAACATTATCAATATTTTTTTTGTTTGAAAGAACATTATCAATATTTTTAATTACACATTAGTGAAATCTTTTAAAAAATTTACATTTGCATCCAATAATATGCATTAATAAGTCTAAAAATTACATGGGATTTGAGCAAGGATGGTATCTTCAATGTTAGATCAGCTTATCATCATCTTTTAAAAGGGAAGTGTTTAATTTCTTCTAGTTTAAATTCATGGAAGAGTTTATGGAAGGTTCATATTCCTTTTAAATATAGAATGTGATTTGGGTATTTTATACCCGGTCAGATGGCCCAATCAGAAAGCGCCACGTGTCCTCCGTATAGGTGCCATTTGGACCTATGGAATGATGACACGTGGAGGGTGGACTCTTCTTCGTCCTACGTGGACTGAAGGTCCAGCAGGGACCATTCAGGTGGCGACACGTGTCACACAAAAGTGCTTCAAAATCCTTTTGGGCACATTGACACGTGTCACTCAGGCATTGGCCCTGGGATGGCGGGCTTCTAAGGCTCAAATCCCGAGGCGCCGCAAAACGGCGTGACCTAATTCCTAGGTCACCAGATCCTAGGAAGGCACACTTTTCAAAAGGACCCTATAAATAGGGACATTATGTCATTTATGACAGAGAAAGAATTTTTGACACACAATACGAGACAATACGTCACTTATCTCACTTTACCTGAGCTTGGAATCCAAGCAGATAACTTTACTTCCGCACGTTTTATTTCCGAACGTTTGCTGACTTAATCTTCGGAGGCGGACCCCCAACCATCCGGAGGTCCGTTTGCTTTGCAGGTACAGGCGTCCTCGGTTGAATCCAGTTTCAGTGTTGTAACTCTCCCGAGGGACAAAAACCCCGAAACAGAATGTGTTTTGTGGAATTGTGCCCATTCGATTCTTCCAGTAGCTGAAACTTTGGCAAGTCGGACCATACAGGCGGAAGACTACATACAGGCGGAAGACTACATACAGGCGGCCGAACTCTGCTCCTCCAATAAGCAGTCGGACCATAAGAAGTCCGACCGGCAGAAAGAGAGTCAGCCTGCTCAGCCGGCTCCTAAGCCAGAAGAGAGCAAAAAGAAAAAGCAAGTTTGGGCCATTGATAATTGTGATCAACCGGCCCAGAAGAAGAAAAAAGAGTGGAAGCCGTACGTCCCAAGGTACAAATTCCACAAGGACTGCTGCTCCATCCTTTTGGAAATTAAGGATCGGCTAACTCTTGAAAAGCCGACTGCTATGAAAGGATCCGCTGAAAATCGGAACAAGAACAAGCATTGTCATTTCCATGAGGTTGTTGGCCATGACACGAACGACTGCTTTAGTCTCAAGCGGGAGCTCGATCGTCTGGCCGACAAAGGACAGCTGAAGTCCTATGTGAAGTCCAAAGTGACTTCAAAAGCAAATCCGGGGCAGTCCAAGAAAAAGACTCCCCAGCATGCTGTGAGTGCCGAAACTGATGAAGAACCGGTGTACACCATAGCAGGCGGATTTGCCGGTGGTGGCCCGACCATTCGGGGTACCAAGGACCATCTAAGAAAGATGGTCAATTCTGTTGAGGAGGGGGATGCAGCTAGCACATCCACCTTCCCTAAAGTTGTCATCACCGAACAGGACAGAGGCAAAGTCCGTCGGCCGCATGATGACCCTGTTTTCATTGAATGCAAAGTCGCCAACCAGTTGGTTGGCCGAATTCTGATTGACACAGGAAGTTCCTCTGACCTCATCAGCCTCAAATGCTTATCCAATCTCAAGTACAAACCGGATAGCATGATGGAGGTTACCCACACCTTAGTTGGGTTTGGGGGAGGACTTGTGCACCCAGTCGGACGAATTGACCTACCTGTCCGTCTGGGAAGCAGGGGAGACGGTCGGCACATGATCATTCGTTTCCTAGTGGTTGAAGAGCTCACGGCTTACAACCTCTTCTTTGGTCGACCCACTCTTAATGAGTGTAAGGCCGTCATCATCCCTGCTCTCATGCTACTCAAGTATGAGAAGGATGATGGAACAGTTGGTTCCCTTAATGGGGACCAAAAGACGGCTCGAGAGTGTTACCTTTCGGACGTCAAGCCTGCGGCCGCAACATCCGGCCGGGGCAAGCAAATGATTGACCTCAACGATGTCGAGGAAGAACAGTCGGCCCCACCAGCCGGAAAGAAAAGAAAGACTGATCAGCTGGTGGTGGTCAAAAAAGAAAAGCAATAACAATCACTGACCGGGGAAAGGTCGGATGATCTTTGTCCCCAACCTACTGGTGAGCACATTGATATCCCTCTGGATGATAGCCGTCCAGAGCGGACTGTTAAGGTGGGGACGATTGCCTTTGCAAAGTTGGGTGAAAACCTTCACCAGCTGCTCAAGGAATTCAAAGACATTTTTGCCTTTGAAGTGGAGGAGATGCCAGACATCAGCCCGGATCTCGCTGTCCACAAACTCGCCGTGGATCCTAAAAAGAAGCCCATCCGGCAAAAGAAAAGAAACCACGGCGAAGAAAGAAGTCAGGCGGCAGCTGTCGAAGTAAAAAAGCTGTTAGATGCCAAGTTCATTCGGCCGTGCAACTTCCCTGAGTGGGTAGCTAACGTTGTGTTAGTAAAAAAGCCGAATGGAACTTGGCGGATGTGTGTTGATTACACAGACCTCAACAAGGCATGTCCAAAGGATAGCTATCCACTGCCTAAGATCGACAGTCTGGTCGACTCAACAGCCGGACATGCCCTGATGAGTTTCATGGACGCCTATTCAGGTTTCCATCAGATCCCCCTGTGGAAAAAAGATCAAGAAAAGACGGCATTCGTCACTGATCAGGGGTTGTTCTGTTATACGGTGATGTCGTTTGGT